TTGTTGGGCCAGATGAAGCTGCCAGTGCTCAATACCTGTACGCCCGAGCCGGTCGTTTCTTGCTGTAAACATGTGCGACGTGTGCAAGCTACATTAGTGAGCATTAGAGGACAACAAGGTTGTCAAAGAAACATTTCGTAGTCGCCCAAGCCTCCCCCAAAATCGCTGACCGCGCGCATGGAGCACACTGCAATAGGATCTACGTATCTGCCTGTTTGTTCATGTTTTGTCTTCTCGGCGTTCTTGCACCAGACATTGTGGATATGAACAGAAGACGGCAAGGAGAAGTTGTTGCGTGTATAGAAACAGCGATGAGAGCGAAAATGCGTAACTCAAGCATGTTTTCGAGGTGCGCACATTCCCCCAACTTCACCAACCAGACGCAGGAGCAGCAACAACACAGCGGCCAAAGCGCAGAACACGACCAACACCAACACCAATAGACTGGAGGTCCCCAAATTGTCCAGGTTAACGCCAACCATTTTCCACCACGTTTTTTATTGGATACTGGATACCCGAACCTTATTCCCCTCACAACCACAACAACAACAACAACAACATCAAAACCCACCGTGTTGTCCCTGTGGTGCGAAGATGCCATCCGACCTTCAATCGCTCCCACTCACCTCAGCAGAGCTGCAGCCCGCATCAGACAAGCTTGGCCGAGAATTCCCCTCAACGCGGCGAGGATGGCGAAACAAGCGCCGAAACAGCTTCAGCAGCCCCCCGGCTTCACGCTGAACATGATCCTTCGGCGGCAGCTGCCTCATCTGCAACAACCCACACCCCATTGGGAGAAGGGGGGGGGGGTGGAGTAGGCTCAGGCCTCCAGCTCGCTTGGCAGACCACTTGATGTCACTCACGGACTATCACTGACAACCACACGGATTATTTTTCGAGTAAATTTGTCCCGCGACCAATACGACTACTTCAGGGTAATTTCCATAGTCAGCCGATTGGTGCCGTTGGTGCTCAGAAAAGAAGCGGCGCACAGACGAGACGAGACCTTCGGATCGGAAAGGTTTGGAAAAGAACGTGCATCTCTCACGCCGCGAGCGTTTCGTACAGCGCAATTCTGCAGCTTCTAGTTCCCTCTCGGACTACATGACACAACAGCAACATAGTCTACAAGCAGACGCAGCAATGGTGAGCCAATCCTCCGCCATGTAGCGCCACCACCAAGTAACGGAACAACCCGAAAACGACTGGCTTCGTGTTCAAACTCTCTCCGAAATCACAGAAGTGTGATAAAAACCGCGAGACGTGCAAGACAAGGTTCAGAAGGACACGTTCTCGGAGGCGTATTGCTCAAAACCTGAAGTCTTTTCCATTCAGATTTGGATACGTGTTCCCGACTGTTCGACGAAACGGAGGCTTATTGCCCCATCAGCAACAACGAGAGAGATAGAGACAGCGGCAACAGCAACCCACAAAATGAGCAGCAATTGAGGGGGGGGGGGGGGGGGAGTACTCATAGTCGTGCATGCCGTAGTCGTTTGACCATTGACCTCGCATCCCTACAAAGCCGGGACGGAGCACACCGGGTTTTCACCGGACCAGGCTCTCACATCACCAAGCGCGAAGCGCCGTGAGGTATTTGGCGAGTCGCATGAAGGGTGAGCTGCATCCTGCTAAGGGTGTTCGGCATCTTACTTCCTTGCGTACGGATGACAGCTACGTATGACTTAATTTATTTTCTGGTGCTTTCACTTCCAGAGACAGTTGTAAGCACTGTGTAACTGCCTCGAGGAAGCTTGACCATTTTAACACAACGTGGTGCGATCATCCCCCGTTGCGCGGAGTGAGGTTTCTCGACCCCGCACAACATGATCTACTCGACCACCATTATGGTTACCGCCAAAAAAAAAACCGAGGTAAAAAAACAACCGGTAACCTGGTTGTCGAGTTCACGAAGTGAATTGGCTTGTTTTAAAACGTCGTTGCCAAGCGACGAAAACCCAATCCCGATGGCAAACACCGAGTGGGGGGAGGCAATTGAGGGGGGGGGGTGTACTCATAGTCGTGCATGCCGTAGTCGTTTGACCATTGACCTCGCATCCCTACAAAGCCGGGACGGAGCACGCCGGGTTCTCACCGGACCAGGCTCTCACATCACCAAGCGCGAAGCGCCGTGAGGTATTTGGCGAGTCGCATGAAGGGTGAGCTGCATCCTGCTAAGGGTGTTCGGCATCTTGTGCTTACTTCCTTGCGTACGGATGACAGCTACGTATGACTTAATTTATTTTCTGGTGCTTTCACTTCCAGAGACAGTTGTAAGCACTGTGTAACTGCCTCGAGGAAGCTTGACCATTTTAACACAACGTGGTGCGATCATCCCCCGTTGCGGGGGGGGGGGGAATCTACACAACCACAGCCCGCTGCCTCGCCCACCTTCTTGAGTATCTCCAACTCCTCTGCTTCGTCCTTTACGTGTTGCTCGAGCAGTTTGTAGGCCTCGCTCTGCTTGAACGCGGCGCTAAAGTTCGTGTCCATCATGCTCACCGCCACAGACATGGCCTCGATGAAGATGTTGAAGCTGAGGTATGTATTACGGTAAGGATAGAGCAAGAAGAAGAAACGGGCTGTCGCGTCATCTATTGTGTTATGGCCGAGGGCGTTCCGGTGGGGCAAGACAAGCCAAGCAACGAGAACAATAGAGAGAAAAAAGAAACAAAATCAGACGGGAAGGATTTACCATGAGAGGGAAGATAAACGAAAAAACTGGGGGGATGTTTGACATATGGTGGCAATCAATGTGGATAAACTATCTTTGTGTGTGTGGGTAGTATTCTCGTTCAACATGTTGGCCCCCGCCAGATATCGACAACGTTTACGTTAACCGGGCCCCACGCGCGGCAGACAGACCCATTTAGAACTCATTCTGTCAATATCTTGTTTCGCTTTCACTTTCACTTTCACTTTCACTTTCTTCCTACTTCTTGAAACAATAGAAAGCTGGTGGTTTTGTGTTAGACATGAGCGCAGGAACCAAAAAGAACGTACCAAACTAAAAACTTGAAGGGAAGACATAAGACTGCGTTCGGAACCGACGAGCTCGATTCATGGCGAACAGAATACTTCTTCAGCGATTTCGATTTTCGTTTCTTTCGTATTCACTCTGCCGAAAGCTACTTGTTGTCTATTTGTTGGCCATCCATGACTACAGTATCTGTGCTTCATACTTCATACGCCTCGCCTGCTTCGAGTCGGAAGCTGTCCAGGTGTTAGATGGCAATCGACAAGTCAACACACCGTGTTCGTTTGTTCTTTGATGGAAACGGGCAGAAAATGTCACATTGACACAAACAAAGTTGCAAAACCGGGCTCACGATACTGGCCACGAAGAGAGTATCCGGCCGGAGGGAAGGTGAGAGCAGTCATCAGGGTGTATTGCCCCTACAAAAAGCCTCCTCCAGCGTTTACCTTTCCTCCTGTTTCATCCCGGCTGGGATCCGTCCAACAACGTACCTAAACGTTGTAGACTGGAGCTTCGAATAGATGCGACGAAAACAACAAATAAATCTGTAGCGAGAGAGAGTAAGTCAGAATATCTGGTCCTGTACATTTTGGATTTGATCTTGCGTAGCCTCTTCCGGGCCACGTTGCTAAACGGTGGCCAAAACGCTTGTCGCCAACGAAGGTCATTGATTACCTTGTGATCTCCGTCTGTAAGATTCTCTCCCGGACGTAGTGGCCCAAGTTCACTTCCTGGACCGACCCGACCCGAATAAACCTGACAAAGGAACGAAGTAGTGTACGACAATGAAAATATCAGATTAAAGCATAAAAAAGAATCCAGAAAATATACAGCACAGCAGTATGCGCACACGTCGTGGCAGCGGACAGCAAGCAGCATGCATAGTTGGCGGAAGGAAGGGTAAGTAGAGAAGCGGGCCGCCCGAGGCTTGCGAGACCCGGTCCACATGCTGATGAATGACAGCAGCACCCATTGAATATCTGACAAGTGAGCCGTGCTCGGGGTTTGCGCGACTGTAAGGCAACAGGACTGGCATGAAACCCCTCCACGTACCTGTCAACGATGGCGGAGGTAGCCGCCTGCCGTCCGAAGTAGTCTTCGATCTCGTCCCGTTCGAGACACGCCTGCTTGCACGCGTATGAGACCACACTATGACGCACCAGTTTTTTTGCGGTTTTGCGAGCTAAACGACTCGAGACCTTCCGGCAAGACAACACCGGACCGCCTTCGCGCAAATTTTACGAGGAGATAGAACAGGGAGGGGTTACGCAGCCCGTATTCCCGTACCCTAACCCTAACCCAAGTTCACCGATTTCATGCTTTATCCAACATGTTTCCTGAGTGCAATAAACCTGCGAAGGTTACTGACAACAACATTGATGTACATGTAGTGAAGAAGGCGGAGTTAGGTCCGTAAATTCTTTGCAGTCATGGAAACACCCTTCTTGACGGGCGAAGACGTCGAAGAGGGACAAAACAATGCACCGTAAGCGAATATGGTTGATTGAGTTCTTGGCTTTCGGGAAGACAGGCATGTTGACGGCTTCATTGGGAGGTCAGCAACAAAGCGTTTCGCTTGTTAGGACGACCCCACCACCCTACAAATGTTTCCTCGCTCGCCCATTTTGGCTCTCCCGTTGTTGCGTGTAGGACGAGGGGGGAGTTTTTCGTTGGGGGGGGGGGGTGTACTTATAGTCGTGCATGCCGTAGTTTGACCATTGACCTCGCATCCCTGCAAAGCCGGGACAGAGCAGGCCGGGTTCTCACCGGACCAGGTTAGCACCACATCACCAAGCGCGAAGCACCGTGAGGTATTCGGCGAGTCGCATGGAGGGTGCGCTGCATCCTTGTGTTTACTTCCTTGCGTACGGATGACAGCCGCGTATGA